TTGAAGGGAAGACATTCAAGAAATAAACCAAGTTGTCAGTCCTATCTATTCCATTCCGGAAATTAAATAAGAACTTCTAAAAATAACTTGGAGATAATAATTTCAAATTTCGGACACGAATACAGCGGGATAAGATGCGGTCAACTAAGATATGAAGTAGCTCAACTTTGAGGACTGCGTCTAAGGTAGGAGAACTTTAAGGGAGGTGTACAGCTTTCAGGACCACGTCCTAGGTAGTGGAACCGATTGCAAACCAGCAATAGATTATGTTGCTCACTTCAAAGATCAAGGCCAGGAGGTCTTATTGACCATCTCTAGATACCAAGACCCGGAGCTTGTTGATTTAGCTCCTATGCCTCTTTTGGGCTTTAATATTGTTATTTTATGATCCTTATAGACTGTCCTAGATATCGTAGACTAAGACCTAGTCCACATACCTGCCTGGTTTAATCTCAGCCAGAATCTTCTTTCTTCCCTTTAGTGATCAATGATCAAAAGTTAATTATTTGGTTACATAAATTATAAACACTTTGTTAATCAGTATGTTAAATGGTGAAATTATAAGACTATAATTTGTGATAAAATTAGGTTTGTACAATGTTTTCTTCTAAACCCAAATGTCAACTACATCTAAGCCTATATGGTCGGTTCTAAAGATATGAATCTTAGATTTATTCAGCTCAATAACTTAAAACCCCATTTTAAAATTCAAGTGAACTGAAATCTTCAAGACAAAGTAAATAGATTGGTATCAAGGAATTATCTTTATCAACGATGGAATCGTTGAACTCATTTCATTACGCCACTGGAAAGACAGACAGAAATAATGAAGTAATGAATGAATGAATGAATCTTTTATGTTGTATAAGCTCCGGAAACTGAATCTCTCAAGAGTTTTACCGACTCAGAACATATTAAAAACAACATGACTAGATTAAGCCATTTCTATCGATGAATCAGAATTTTTAAGGATTTCCCAAAACTGTTCCATCAAAAATGTCAACACAATCGAAACTTTGGTAATAACGCTGAATGTAAAATCATTATTAGGCAAATTTCCTCTTCAGGTCTGTGTGAATCTGGATCCAACAAAAAAAAGTTGAGATTAAATTGGGGATAGCCCACTCTTAGGCAGGAAATAATGCTTTCTACAGCAGGCTGTGATTATTGACTTGGTCCGGATGGCAATGAACTTTTCCTGAAGGGAACTCAAACCTTGGGTCAACTTTGTGAGTTGAGGGATCTTAATATCCTAAACTCAAGAGGCTATTATTGCAGAACGGATGAAAATATCCAACTCAGACCTTGTGCTTAAAGGTGAAAGTAGTAGACATTTTCTTCTGGAGTTTAAGGGTTGCCAAGTGATGGAGCACTCAGAACATCTTAAAGGCCTCTTTCTCATTCCGAGTAGGATCTGACTGGTGTCTACGACCTGCTGGTCCATTCTGATCGACGATTATTGTTGCATGAGTAGGATGAGGTAAGCAAGAAGGCGATGGGATGGAACATAACTTAGTTTGGTAGCTGGTTGGAGATTCGTGGATGGCAGATAAAAAATACAGCGTTCCATAACTTGCCATTTGTTGATGTAGGTATAGGCGGACAGAGCATGATGAAAAATTCAAATACAAATACAGTCGAAATTTTAATGTCGGTGTATAATGTTTTAGCAATTTGAAGTATTTGGTTATGAATGACTGTATAATTGGGTATACTCTATTGGGTTTGGGATATATGTATAATGTATAAGAATTGTATAATGTATTAGGTTTATGATATGTATAATGTATAGGGTCTGTTTAATAAACTATGTTTAAGATATGTATAATGTATAAAGGTTGTATAATGTATAGGGGTTGTATACTCTATTAAGGGTTTAGGATATGTATAATGTATAAGAATTGTATAATGTATTAGGTTTATGATATGTATAATGTATAGGGTCTGTTTAATAAACTTTGTTTAGGATATGTATAATGTATAAAGGTTGTATAATGTATTGGGTTTTGGGATATGTATAATGTATAGGGTCTGTTTACTAAACTTTGTTTAAGATATGTATAATGTATAAAGGTTGTATAATGTATAGGGGTTGTATACTCTATTAAGGGTTTGGGATATGTATAATGTATAAGAATTGTATACTGTATTAGGTTTATGATATGTATAATGTATTGGGGCTGTTTAATAAACTAGGTTTAGGATATGTATAATGTATAAAGGTTGTATAATGTATTGGGTTTTGGGATATGTATAATGTATAGGGTCTGTTTAATAAACTTTGTTTAGGATATGTATAATGTATAAAGGTTGTATAATGTATTGGGTTTTGGGATATGTATAATGTATAGGGTCTGTTTAATAAACTTTGTTTAGGATATGTATAATGTATAAAGGTTGTATAATGTATAGGGGTTGTATACTCTATTAAGGGTTTGGGATATGTATAATGTATAAGAATTGTATAATGTATTAGGTTTATGATATGTATAATGTATAGGGTCTGTTTAATAAACTATGTTTAAGATATGTATAATGTATAAAGGTTGTATAATGTATAGGGGTTGTATACTCTATTAAGGGTTTGGGATATGTATAATGTATAAGAATTGTATAATGTATTAGGTTTATGATATGTATAATGTATAGGGTCTGTTTAATAAACTATGTTTAAGATATGTATAATGTATAAAGGTTGTATAATGTATAGGGGTTGTATACTCTATTAAGGGTTTGGGATATGTATAATATATAAGAATTGTATAATGTATTAGGTTTATTTATGATATGTATAATGTATAGGGTCTGTTTAATAAACTAGGTTTAGGATATGTATAATAAATAAGAATTGTACAATGTATTAGGTATGGGATATAGGGCATATTATAATGTATATTTGTTTGAAGATTTTCACGACTTATCTGCTTCTTCAAATTCTGTTTATTTTCTGTAATTCTAACAACATTCAAATGTTTTAACATATTCTCTTTGATACTGTCCGTTAAGGTCAGATACGATTTGTTGATGACAAGTTAACCTCTTTTTCCAGCTAAAATGAAAACATTTTTTTAACTTTAATAATTAATTAGAGATCACATCGTTTTATTTTCTGGCATTTTTAATGTAAAACTGACATGTCCACTTTCCAAACAATGTCTGAAATTCCTAATAGTCACAGAATAAGACATCTTAATCCCAACAGCTAATTAGACATTTGCAAGCAACAAAGTTTAATGTCCCACTGTTCTGTACTTTATTGGCCAAATGAAAAGCAGCACAGTCTAAGGTTCCACTGTTCTTTACATACCTATGGCAAATGAACAGCAACAAATGTATCTGTTCTTATTAGGCAAATGTCTCACTGTTCTGAAACTTCTTGGCCAACTGCAATAAAATCGAGATAAAAGTGTCATTTGCTAAAAATTTGGTGTGACTTTTCCGTTCCCTAAATATAATATACTTAAATAGGATACAAAATGGATTGGCTAACAGGCTAACTTACGTATTGTTTCATTCTCCGAGTTGTCTATTTTATGTTTCATTTTTATGAATAATCAGCTCTCTCTTCTTTCAATACTTCTCGTTTTGCTCCATTATTTGCGTTGATATGAAAATAAAAATGATTGAATAGTACAGTTAAAATGAAATTCGACTTCCAACTCGCATGCATCTTATTGTACTGAAAATGACCAGTTACATTATACAGTGAATAAGAAGGGAAAACTTCATGTGGCACAAATTGGTGGAAATTATTTCTTTATTAGGCCTTACGTATAGTAATAATGTTCAAATGAACTTAATGTAAGTTAAAGAATTCAAATGTAATTGTTTGATTTTAAATTCATGAAGTATAATCATCAAAAACCTACCATATTTCAAATAATGTGTAAATTCCCTGAGCAGCAAAAGATAAAGATTTGAATTTGTTGAAACACAACAATGTGTGAAAAGTGTTCAAGTATAGTTCACCCGTACTGTTGAGGAATTGGTACGATTGACGATTGGTGTTCAGAGGGCCTGTTTGATTCTCAAGAAACGATTTTGATATATTATGGTTTGAAAACCAAACTTTTGATTGGTTTGTTTGAATTTTGATCCAATCAGAATGAAAGTATAAAAGTTCGGTTTGATAATTGAAGCCATCAAACACCCTGTACTGAAGAAATGAATGGTGAACATTGTTCAGATTAGACTGTTGAATCAACAAGGCACATTTATCCCAAAGCGAAACAGTCCTAGTAGTACATCTATAACTATACGATTAATTCTGATGAAATAATAAACCATATTAAATATATATATCTGGTCTTTAAAATTCTTGTGCAGAAAAGTTTACATTCTTAATTTTTGTAGGACTATTTTGTTAAAAATGTAGATAAAAAAAAATAGTAACACGTACAAAATAGGTTGGTGACATTTGGAATCCGTCACCATGTTTTTTTCCCAGCTTATTACCAAGGTTTAAGAGCAGCTAATTATAAGCGGTATCGCATCGCAGTTTGGGATACAATTTTAGGCAAATTGCAGTTTAATTTTTGCGATACATAATAATGTATTCTATAATAAAAAATAAAACATTGAGCCGAAAAATTTGTCACATCAAATATCTCGAGGACTTAGATTCGACCTTAAATGAAATTTCAAACTGCTACATATTTGGTCTAAGCACAAATTTGTGTTACCTCTAAATGTTTTAACTAAAGCAAATTGATATTAGCTAGATGCTATAAGGATTATAAGCTCTGCGGTTTTTTATGATGATTATGAGGCTCAAAACTGCACTGATAAATATAAGATTGTGAGAAAAGAAAATAGTATTCATCTGATTTCCTATTCTTGACTTTGTGACCGAGAAATTACCAATTCTGAATGAAATATTGTTATGATAGTTGCTGTGACGGAAATCTACGAGTAGAAGTCAAGTATGAGGAAGGAAATGGGTAGCCTTGAGGTCCACCCGATATTTTTATTTTCAATTATCTACACGTTAATCAGTGACAATGTATGGCTTTTTAAGTTACTTATTTTGGCTAGTGGTAGCCCTCTCCTTTATATGTAAGTTTCATTTTAGTTATTATGATAATGCATAATTAAACGATGCACACTTATAGTGTTTTGGTATGTTGAATATTTCAAATATGTATTTGTCAAAAACAAATGTCATGCAGATATATCTGTGATTAGTAAGGAAATGTGAAAACAACAACTGTTATTAATGCATAGTGAATGTCAACTTAACGTGGTTTTGTACTTTTTTATATGCCAATTAAAAGATATAACTGATTTTTATTTTATCACCACAATGATCACTTTTATAAACCGTTTACTTTTCCAAATATGATAATATTATATCTAATAATAATAACTTTTCTGCTTGAGATTCCTGAAAATATATTCTTCCTGTTCAATTATTCCTGTGATACCCCAAGAAGTATAGTAATCAATAAACAGATGCGTAATAATTTCAATTTGTATCAATTGTTTATAAGTGTAAACGGTAACGGTAAAGTGACGGTAACGGTGAAAACTATTCCAATTTACTGTGTTTCGTTCTAGGTTCAAAATGTTTGAATGAGAAACTAACAAGGAAAAGAAGAGTTGTAGGGGGAGCACCATTGGTACCTGGCGAGTGGCCATGGCTTGTATCACTCCATTTCAGACCAACACATCCTTTCACTAATCGTACAAAGATGAGGCATCTATGCACTGGTGCCCTCATTGATCCACAATGGGTTTTAACAGCTGGACACTGTATGGAGTAAGTAGACTAATTTCTCAACATGCAGGGAAAAAAGACAACAAATTCTTATTTTTAAAATATAGTTAAAGCTATCACAAATATATAGTACGGCAAATACAAAGTTCCATAAACTATGGTAACACAAAAAGGAAAATATTTCCATGCGCTGAAATAATTCAACTTGTAGGCCTACATTCAAATAGGCTAGTTTTGGAAGCAAAAATTCTTAAATATGTAATATTTGATTCGTCGATTATTAGGTCTACCCTTCCTTTATAATAATGATAATTCTAAAAAAAGATGTACTGTTTATATCATCTGCTATCCTGCTTGACATTCAAACGTCACAACAGTATGGATTGATTTCAGTGGTAATGAGTTTAAAGGATTAAATAAGAAGAGTAATTGGGTGATAGTATTAGGAGAATATAACCAATATCGACGAGAATCGTGGGAACAAAGAAATAGAATAAAAAAATATTTCAAACATCCACAATATTCAGGTTAGTCCAAAACATTAGAAGAGGATAGAGCTGTAGTTTAAGCAGATTGGATGTCCTCGTGATATCCTTATATATAACATTGTCAAATAGAGTGAGTTTGATTCTTGCTCGCTAACCACGGTTCAATCTCGACAAATGTGGAGATGATACTTTCCTTTTTTTTTCGATTCGGTTTACCCTTGTCAATGTTAAGGGCTGAAAAAAAAAAGCGTCCAGTCGTTCGGATGGGACAATAAACCGTGTGCCAGAAGCTGTGCACGTTAAAGATCCCTCGAAGTTAAAGAGCAGGCTGACGCCATTGTCTTCCTATTATACCCTGCATGGCGCTGCCCGTCTTCATTAGTCCACAAAAACTCCATTCATTTCATTTCAAGCTCGTCCCCTGTTACGTGATTTGACACTAATAAAATTAAAGAGAAGAGCTACTATCAACGAGAAAGTCAAAGCAATCAATATAGATAGTACTGGTGAATGTACAGTTAAAGGAACGCCAGTATCTGTTGCCGGTTGGGGTCAAATATCTTACAGTAAGGTTTTTTGGTATTCTCATAAATCTTCTATTCTGTTTTGATTGTATAACTGTCTACTCCAACGAAAATATCGCATTTCAGTAACTAAATGGAAAAATATAACCGACTTTATGCCTCTATCGTTATCCACATATTGAAGTCCTAAAGCAGGCAGAGTAGTTTTCTGGTCCGCATCACGAGATTATTGTCAAAGATCTGTTTCATTCAGATGTTTCATCATTTATGGTTGATATTCTTCCTCATGCTAAAATTATACCAGCTGCTACCATTGTTATTTGGATTTCGGTTTGTGTTTTGTGTTTCGGGTAGTTAGTATAACTTGGTTTATTTATTTCACCTATGATATGATTAGTTTTTTATTCATAGTGTTATTATATAATTCTATTTCTAATATAATTTACAGTTCAATAATGCCAAGATGTTGTGATCCGGATGTAAATTCAATATCTCATCTCTCTATATTCAGGTCCATTTGGGTATGGTAATTTCCTCCCATTAAAAACGAGTTTATCAATATCCAATAAGACACAATGTGTTGAGAATTATTCTATAGTACCAGATAATGATCCCGATAAAGCCTTTTATGATCCTGAAGATGAAGGTGTACTTTGTGCTGGTGCTTCTGGTGGTAAAGATGCCTGTTTGGTAAGTAATGTTTTTTTTACTGAATCATGATATCACTGCAACGATTACACCTGTATAATACTACCCAGATGAAGAAGCAAAAAAAAAATCCGTGACTTAAGTTTTTTCATGTAGCTTATTTAGCAACTTATTGAACCATCAAAGGTCGTTGAATCTAAAGCAATCCCACGCAAAGATGCATATCAAGGTACGATATCAAGAGGCTCTATTGGCGACTGATCGGTTGATGTTTTCATTTTTGTTACGCATTCGAAGGATTATTAGATTTTTATTGCAAATATACTTGATCGATCTCTATTTTCTATATAGGGTGACTCTGGGGGACCACTCGCCTGTGAACGTGGCGATGAATGGAAACTAACGGGTGTTGTATCAACGGGTTATGATTGTGGTAATGCAACTTTTCCTGGTTTGTACACAAGAGTTGATTTGTACTCTCAATGGATACGAGATACTATTGCAAACAATTAAAAACTGTAATATTGCTCAAATAAATACCTCACTTTTCGTTTACATATTTACAACATTGTATTTTTTTCACATTAAAGTGATACAACGTCTTAGAATAAACATAAAATTTAAAAATTTTAAATTGGCCAAAAAGAGCATATATTCATCAGTAGATATACCTGGTGTCATAAATAACATAACAGGATCCTTATAAAATCCGATAAATCTAAAAATCTTAATAAAAATGCAATTAACTATTGAAAAACGCTTAATATTATGATTAAGCGTTTTTCAATATTTACTTAGTTTTATGAATTTTCCAATTTTCCAGATTTTACAGGGATTCTTATTAAACGAGGTAAGTTCACTGATGAATATATACTCATATTGACCATTCTTGAGAATTAAATTTTATGTTTATTCTAAGACGTAGTGTCACTTTAAGGGAGGTAACTCAATTACTACTATAGTAATTTTTTATTAGCAAGGTAATAATTCTGCTCCGTGTATATGTTTATTCAGAGGCTCGATATATAACCACCAATGTTACATATTTGTTGGTGAATTACGTCATGATGGGGGTATTTCATTAATTGCCAAAATCCAAACTTGGAGTCAACTCCGGAAAAATAACTTCTGTAGACTATAGAAGGTATCAACATTGATAATCGTCGATTGAAATATCTTTTTTCCAATCTCATGATACATGGAAATTGAAAAACAATACAAAACTGAAATAATCTACCTTTGTGCTGAGGATAATGGCAATAACCAAAATAGTACGCTTTGTTTTCCACATAATATAATGGGTCATACAATTCGATTGTCATCTAAAGAGCAAGTCTAAAGTAGTAAAAAGTACAGAGACAACAAAGAATAAAATCAACTAAGCTCTGATTTAAATAACTTTATCTATCATTACAATTCATGAATATAAATTCTAATATTTATTTTCTATACTTTCTTCTATCTATTTATATAGTATATATTGATGAGTAAAATAAAGAAGCATTGATTTAAAATAAACATGATGCGCATAATAAAATATAAATTAAACAATATTGCACTTATTGAATGACTAGATTGTGTACTTATATACTAGTATATAACATATGTAATCATCCATTTCATAATGTGATTTTTCTGGGGTCGTTTGTAGAGAACAGGTTAGAAAAGAGTGCATGTGTATCCCATTTTGAGATATCACATAGCTACTACATACTCTTATCAGGATTTTCATTCCATATCTGCAACATTCACTTTGCTATAATCAACATTATCAAATCAATGATTGCATATGTAAAAATTTCGAAACTGAATAACTCATTACCACTCTAAGTTCTGTGAAAAAAAATTCATAGAAATTTCAGAAAATGTTGAATAAATGTGATAATTGAGCATTTGAAATGAATACCACATTATAAATAAATTGTTGTACAACAAAATCACATCACAGATCAATAGAAAGTATACGAAAAGAACAGTAGGTCTACATTCATACTGAACATCATGATAACTGTTTTCTTATCAAAGCAGCAAACCTTTAAATCAGTTCACAACTACCAAAAATCCTGAGAGGCACTTTTCTGTTCTCAATTTTATGTTAACATTCACAACTTGTTGTTTTGATGTTCAGTACATTTAATTAACTTTGTAAGTACTTTTGGTCCTGGTTTATAAAGCATAACAATAATAATACAACATATTGCTAAAATACACAAAATATTTATCCTAGACTAAATTCAATATTTGATTCAGAAATTTAAAATAGAGTACTCTTAATAGGTATATCAAGGTATCTCTAGTCAATGACTAGAATATGACAATAACATTTCCTGTTACTCCTTCTGAGAGACAATATATTTTGTTTATTTCTATCACTGGTTCCCAATCTAAAATGAACTTCATGAAGGTATCTGGTAAGTTTTCTTATGATAATTAGAGATTGATACAGACCCTCGAGTTTCATTATGTCAAGGTCTTGAGAATTTAACTTGAGCTATTTGTTTTCAAACAGGAAAAAGGGGAATGAAGATAAATATTAGGAACCAGAGGTAAAAGATACTTAAATAAATGAAATAAAAGGGAGGCAATAATAAAGATAAAGGTGCCATATATATCATCAAAACATGATATACTGGTACTGATATGTATCATTTAATCACCATAAAACATGATATGTTTTGATATGTTTCATCATATATATTATGATAAACAATAAACAATATACAATAAATAATACTATATATTTGATATGTATTAGTATAATATTTGATATGTATTTGTATAAATCACATGATTTGATATGCATCTCTTCTGAATTAGACATAATTTGTGTTTTCTGCATCAAACAACATGAACACAAGACGTATACACATTTTACACATTTGTGTAACTGTGTATGGAAATGGCATGAATTCCACTTTATATTTACTAATAAACGAAGCTGATTTGATTTTTAAATATCATTCACAATGAAAGGCCTTTTTTTGTAAATTTCTCCGTAATTATTTGCTTTAGTAGCACATGAAATTAATTCTGTTCTATTAAATAATGTCAATGTCAAAGTATCATTATCCTCTCTCTTTTGGATTATTTTTAGTAGTGTTCAGAATGATGGTTGATACATATAGAACTCAAGATTTGAGTACATCAGTATTCAGATGTAAATTAAATCTAATGATAATTTTAAGTGGGGGTATGTGCTGATTTATTTGGTATATTTTGAAATACCTATTGGTATAGTATTGTCTCAAAACAGAATTAAAACTCTTTTATGGTAAAAGACTTGAAAAACTTTTATAAGAAAGCAAAACAATGATACTCCATTGACATTAATGGAAAAAACCAAGAATGATTTATATTTAAACTCAAATGATAAATCTATATCCAGAAAGAGATTCAATTTTTGAACAATGTTTTTTTAATTTCAAGCTTCTAATACTCCTTCTTTAAAGCAAAGATATATATAATTATCACATTATAATTGATATGTATTGATATTATTTACAATTAATTATATTAATTAACTTAAATACAAACTATAATTTTACTTGACTTCTATATATATTGATAATGTTTATCTATTAAATGAATAAAATGTAATTTTAAATATCAAGTAATTCATTAATATATAATTTTTGTCAGCTATATTCAAAACAATATGTAATAAATTCTGTTATTCATAATATATTCAAATGAAATTTAGATTCAATGAAATCAAAAAATGTTTGAAATTAAATTTCGAATTAAACTGACATTTTGTTAGCCTCTATCATCCAGTCCCTAATTGTCTACATATAGCTTCTACAAGATAGGTCTGAGTGTCAGAGACTAACGTTACTTGTATGCTGTATATCAACAATATTTATAATCATCTGCTATGATTAAACTATATGACAATATTATATCACAATATAATAAAAACACAATTCTTCAGAATTATAATCTAAAACACATTTTAAAAATAAATAAACTATGCATCTGATGATCTATAAATGCATAAAAACTATAAATTGCACCAAAAATGCATCCTAAGGGCATAAATATATAAGAACAATGATATGTATTGAACACAAGATGTGTTCTGATATGTTTAATATAATGCACATAATAACAACAATTTGATATGTATTAATTCAATAACTCTTAGATTTAACGTAGGACACATACCTGTGATAGCACACTAAATAGTATCTATTATGAAGTTACCCCACATAAATCATGGGGAACAATTTGTAAAAAATTGTGATTTTGATGTACAGATGACATGGTGCCATATCAACCTCTCCACCATCAGGGATCAATAACAAAATAGTGTATTGTCAATATTGACAATATCGTATACGCACTCCTAGTTTGGCAAACCTTTTCAAGGTAAAAACTGCTCACTATACATACAAATATACTGTATTTGTAAAATGTATAGCAATAAGGCATCTGTATATTTCTAAGGAAATTCACTATTTTAGACTTCTATCACAGGCATGTAGTAATCATAAATTTCACAACATTCACCATAATTTTGATAGAGCTAACATTAGTCTCATTAGTTCACAATTTATATAACTAATAACAATATCACTAAGCAAATTCAGTCACTTACTCACATTCAAACAAATATAACTAAAGGGACTTCATTAACTGGCATTTAGTTGGGTCAATTATGTGTATGCACACAAGTATGTATTTCCTTTTTTTTTGCCATTTTGTGATGTCTGAGAATGGACAATTTTGATAGTCCAATAAGGTTTCTAGCAGGTGGCCCCCCAAAAAAAGGGATTTAGATAAAGTATCAAAGACCATAATATTAACATCTTTTCACAAAATTAAATGGTGACCTCTCTCGCCATGGTTACAGTTTTATTTGTTATAATGTTTTAGCCACTCAAATTCTGCCAATCTTCAAATTCTAATAACTGATGAAAATAATATATCAAGTATATCTATCAAGTTTTATAACATGTATTAATTATTTAGAGACAAAAACCTTGACAGGCTGTCTTAAAAGTAGAATAAGTAGTAATTGAACAATTGCTTGTCAGACTTGTAGTATTAAAGGAATACCAACTCAAAGTCAAATTCAAACTTGGTAAATAAATGTATGTATTCATCAATTGGACTTACCTGGTGTCATGAATCAAAGATAGAATCTCTATATAAGATTATTCATCCATTAAACTAAATAATTATTGATGAACAGTTCCAAGCATGCAGTTTTATAGATTTATTGGATCATAGATTCTGTTGTATAGTTATGACACCAGGTAGATCCATTGATGATCAAAGACTCTTATTGGCCATCTTTTGGTCATCCTAAAAGGTAGTATACCCTTAATTATGATATTTGTATGTGCATAAATATTGTTGACCAACTATTACTTGAGCAATAAACATATGTCCAAAACTTTTCATTAACATGATGTACTCTAAAATAACATGAGGGTTTTCCTAAATAATTTTGATAATGTATATGCACTTCATCTAAAATTTAATGGTATACAACTGTCATGTATTTTGGTACTCTATCATCCAGGTGTTTAAACAACTCCTATCAGTAATGACAACAAACATTGCTTTTAAAAGTTGTATACAATAATATTTTGACTACTTATTAACTGTATTTTGATATGTTATAGTTTATTACCAAAACCAATATTCTTAACAAACCAATCCTTAGAATACTTTTTTTTCAAACAGATACATCCTTTATGTGTTGTCTTTGAAATCACCCATCTTACTCCTTGTCTTCTGATAGTGAATACTTATATTCATCAGCTGGGGTTATAATAGATGCTTCATCTGCTAATAAATCATCATTAGAGAACTTTAAAGCTGGATTGATCTTTCCGTTACTTTCCTTATATTGGGCAATAGAGGTCATTTCATTTGGTGGCTCTCGTCTTGATAGTATAATACTTTCTTCAGGTATATTAACAACACATAGAAATATATCGTAACGTGGCGGCAATTTACCACTGATAAATAGTTCCTTAAAGAAACGAGATACAGCAGTAATAACCAGCAATGTTATCAACATAGACAATGTCTTAAAGGGGAATAACTGAAGCTTATTAACCTCATCATACCAAGGATATTTAATAATAGGATCAATTCTCAATGCAGCTTCTCCTCCCGCCAATCTAAAGAACATTCCAATAATATATCCAGCTAATGATCCATAGGTATTAGTATCCACATATAAAACACACACCAATTGTGGAAATAATATAACATAGACTAAATCAGCACACAGAAACCATAATTCATAGATTGATGTTACCACTATAGCCATAACAGTAGCTAGTACTCCTACACCAAATATAGCAACTCTCATTACCCACAAGATTTCATTTTCTGATGCCTGCAATGAAAAAAACCTTGATAAGTATAGCACATATAAGTAACCAAATTTGAGTGAAATAGACCCAAATCAACATCCCTGGTTCGGATCCAGGTAAGTTAGAGTTAGGTTACTAGGTAGGTAGTAGGGAATGAAATCCAACATCAGGCTACCTTTATAAGCAATGGATTTGACCTTAGAACAGTGGTTACTGAACTATTTCAGCCTTCACAACCCTGGAGCAATCACCTGGACCTTTCACACCCCAAAAATTTTGTTTCATCCTCATTTGCAGCACGTGATAAAGTTAGGTGGTCTCTCTCAACTTCTTCTCCTACACCAGTTGGCCACACCCCTGACACCCTAGTCCAACACCCCCAGTGGGTGAAAACGGCCCAGGTTCGGAACCAGGGCCTTAGAACCTAACAGACAAAAATCCAACTCAGCAGGGTATGGGTTCCATTACTATTGACACATCATTTGATCATACCTCTTTGAAATGGTACATGCCCTTATTACTAGTCTTGGTAATAGATTGAAGTTGTTTCACAGAGAATAAGTTACACAAGATTTTGAATTTTAAGGATGCTCAAAAAACTGGCATGTTGAAGCTACCTTTTGTCTAAAGATGAGTTTGTAGATATTTCTAGCAAACATAGAACTTGCTGATAAAATAGATGAATCAGCTGATGACATGACTGCTGCAGACACTGCTCCTAAACCAATAAATGATACCCATCCTGGACATAAAAACTGTAAACACATGGGTAATATCAGGTTAAGTTTATCTTCAGGTATTGGCAGGACACCATCATAAGTTGTTTCATTCCAATCTGAAAACAGAGTAACATGTATCTCTATATCAAACATTATAATATATAGAACTGATGTTTTGCCATATATAATCACTATGTCTGTGGGCTAGTGATGTGGTGTGGCAGAATATAGCCTGTATAATGGAAATGGATGTTAATGACAATTTTCCCAGTCGTTGCAAGCAAATGACATGCTCATAAAATCTATTCATACAAAATATTGGAATGAAGAATGACAAAATCTTGACATAAAACAAATAAAGATCATTCCCACATTTCCTGTTCGAATTTGATAGACAGGTACTTAAAAAATTATTATTCAGCCAACTGTTCAAAGTCTTGATGAACTAATTTACTGACCTGTAGATTCAGCAATAGCACCAAAAATAACGGCAGGTAAGGCCATTATTACACAACCAAAGGATGCTATATAGGATAATATCTGGGCACTTCTGGCAGATTTAGAGGATAATACTCGTTGAAAATATACCTAAAATAAGAGATTTCGCTGTTATCATAACTTGTTTTTCCTTTAATCTGATATTCCTTTTGCAATGATATTTTACATTAGTCTGACTGACATTAAGATTGATGTAAAATTCAAGTGCTGCTTCGAAAAGTGAATAATGGTTTAAAGTTTGTATTATGAAGAATTCTCAGAAAACAGCCTGGGCTCAGTCCATTCTCATTCTCAGTCTCAGCTGTAATTGCGTACCGATAATCTGACAAAGGTTTAGATGGTAGAAAAGATGTCTGTGAACCTATTATCCTTGTTAAAATGATTGTTACTGTCAGCCAATGTCAGCTCAACAAATCAACAATAAAATGTTCAGGTAAGCACAAACAATGTACAAAATAAATGGCACAGACCACAAAAGAATAAAAAGACAGAAAAAAAAATTGAAAAATAGGAACAAAAAGTTATAATATTTACCTGCCAAGGTATCCCACCAAATATCAACAATAGAAAACTGTCAATATATACACCTGTAGCCTGGGGTTCTACAGTTTTAATCCAGTCGGTAGAGTTTACTGTGATTGGTGAGACTGCTTCATTTGTTAAAGCAAATGGAACACTTATCCACTGAAATTAGTCAAAGGATATAATGATGGTATACAATATTCAATAGCTGTACTATGAGGGCTGTACGATTTCAAAATTCTATTTTGCCCCCTATTTGTACTCCCAGTTCCACTAAGCTGCTTCCACTGCACATTAACACATGAAGAGATTAGGCTTCAAGCTAAATTTTCATATACATTCTCTCAAAAAGCCATACATGGACATGGGTCAAGAGTGCTTTGATGTTTCAGATCTTATCCATATCAATACTGAGTTTTTAAGAATCATTACCTTTAATTAAGTCATAAGTTTATCTATTGATATATATCCAATTTCCTTCATAATTTTGAAGATTTGATATTAATATTAATAAATAAATTACTTTACTTACCAGTCCTATAAATATACAGAATAATTGTACCACATCTGTATAAGCTACAGAATATAATCCACCAGTTAATGTATAAAATAAAGCGATACATGATGATACAATTATAGATGTATTGGTATCAATATCAACAATAACTGATAATGTAGCACCTGTAATTAAAAAAAATAGATATTTGAATTTCAACAAATGAGGTCATAAACATTTGCCAATTTAAGAAAGCCAACTTGGGAAATTATTTTAAGTGCAAGAATAACCATTCTATTTTTTTGTTTAACAGACGATATGTTTCAATAATCTGTAGACAAAACTGTTTCATTTTCCAAACTCCACTTCTCAGCTGCACTTTCAGTTTTGATGCTAACATATGGTATCAAAACAAATCAAAACAAAATTATACTTTGTTTAGAAGTTCTCCTATAATCTAATTCAGCATGTTTAGGTTAAAATATCATTACCTAAAGCTGCAAGTACAGCAGCAGTCCAAAAGACTTCACCTAATAAAGCTGGTATATACAATAACCCTCCCATTCTTTCACCATATCTTATCTGGAACGGATCTAACATGGTCACATAACCTTCTGTTCTCATCTTATTGGCAAAAAATAATCCCCCTGAAAAGAATAGTAATTCCACATCCTATATGTTGTTAAAGCAATAGGATCATTTAGTACAGTACACTAGCATATTATGACCTTTCTGAAGAGTATGAATTTCATAAACTATGAAGGTACTTTTAGCACTTTGGAATCTGCAATTTGGAATTGTTCTATGGCTACCTTCATACACAAAATAGATTGACAGGATCAGATTATTTAAAACATTGTGGTCTCATAAAAATGACTTACCAAACACTAAACTTATAGCATAACCAAAAGGTGCTTGACACCACACTAAACCAAATCTTACTATCATTTCTGCTGTACCATTTATATAAGCTCCACCAACCCATGTTGCTGAAATATATAATTAATTTTGAAATGAATTATTCAAACTTTAATCAGTCAGTTTTCAACATTAAAAAACAATTCAAGAATTACAATTAAAAATAATTTTTTTAAGCAAGATAAACTCAGAAAAGGAGCCCTACCAACTAAGGTAGTTGCTTTACTTAGCAAGTCTATTAATGATCAAGTCAATCCAATTAAGGATTTTCTTCACCGCAACAAGATTCTGACAAATTTGTAGGAAACAATTTACAGACAAACCTGAACATTTGATGGAACAGACAGATCTAATTATCTTGACACTATGTTAAGACATGCTAACATTGTAGGATGTTTCCATTTGATATCCACTTTATAACATTCTCTTAAAATACTTTCTTTATTGACTCTTTTTTACTGTGGCTTAACTAAATGAGTGGGTACCAGTGGATGTAAGTGGGTTGTCTCTCTTCCTCTGGGATTTTGGTTCTCAATTTAATGACTGTTAATGGAAGATTTGTGGATTTGTTTCAAAAGTCCCCATGGTAGTTGAGCCACTTTTCTTTTCTAACTGATTTAAAAGTAGTTTTAGATAATAGTCTTCATAGACATAAAGTTTGATCATTTTGGATTAACAAATTTAACTTTAACCAAATGGTCCTCTGGAAGTCAGACTGACCCTAGATTCCATAGTTACAGTTCCTTTTGTTTTGGAATAAATAATGTAGTTATTTCAAATATCTCCACTTAAACTTAAACAATTAAACCATTGTCCTCATTGACCTCAATGTTCAATTAACAAACCATTTCTGAACTAAACCCTTATAATCTCTTATACTCATTTCACAATGTAGGGATATATATATTTTTCTTTTGTAAATTCTCTGTCATATTATCTGGTATTAATTGTATGAGTACTGGTAAATGAAGGATATAAGAAAAGTTGAAATAAATAAATCAGGTAGTACCAATCCAAGTTGAAAAACAAAACACAAAATCCAAAACAACTTGAGACATTAGTAGAAGCTAATGAACTTTTCACATGAGGAAGTATACCAATCATAAGTAAGAAAGTATTTCATAATGAAAAGTGGTATCAGGTGTCTAAAAGAGTAAACATATCCTGAGAAGGGTGTAAGTGAGTAAGTGATATCAAGTATTTATGACTAAGTGTATTGTAGTAGAAATATCGACAACATCAAACCCTCACTTAATGACTTAATCCAAACCAATTTAAGGCATTAATTTTCTAGTCGTGTGACTTCAATTCTATTAACTTAGTTTAGTGGAGAGAGAAGGCAGAAAATACCATTTAATCACTAAGCTAAGCCTATTTTAGGTTTGGTATTAACATCCAATGTAATTTCTATCTGACACGGAGAGCAAATATCTCATTGATTTCTGCTTAGAATTGCCTAGCTTCTTCTAAAATCAATGAAATAGAGAAAATGTAGTAATACTATAAGACTAGATTTTAGGACAAACTATCTGTCTTCTCTCCATTCATATTGAAAAAATTATGTCACGTTTACAGCTATCAGATCTGATACTTTCTTAATGTCCAATGACGCTAAGCATCTAGCTGTCATAGATATCTAAGATTTTTATATCTCAACATTTTCAACCATATACATAGAGGAAACAAAACAATTTACATTTTATATCCATTATAGATCTTGTTAAAAACCAGAGACAAAATGATATTAGATTAGATTATAGATATAATATCATAGATCTATGTATTATAGACAAAATTCCATCTAATTGATATTGGCACATGTCTACTTGTATTAAATCTAATACAAATTTCCAACCAAGATGATGTCTGAATAAGACATTTCTGGAAAAAAACTAAATTGAAAATAAACACATTTCCTTTCCAGATAATGCACATCAATACTATTTTTATATTGACTAAAAATTCCTCTCAGTAACATTACATTTTCAAACTTGTTTTTTTTATGGACATTTTTATCATATTAAAGAGAATATTATAAGACTCTCAGTAAAATGTTCAAGTTGATATTTCAATATATATATAAAATAATAAGTCTGAAACCATTGTTGTCCAAATTCAATGAGTTTTCTCTTTCACAAACCTAACTAGTATTATTCAAGGAATTTGTCAAATGTTTTTAAACAACATAATACAGTTTTTTCAAACATGATTACATGTTGGCGTATAAAAACATTTCAAGAATTCCAATATTTCTTGGAGAGCTTTGGAATCTTCAATAATGGTAATGGACAAAGTGTTCAAGCATGAGTAAGTTAGTATCAGTTGACAGTTATATTTATATCTAGTTGATAGACCTTAGATGTCATGAATGTAAAAAAAAATCATTGATCTTTAAAACATTTTAAAATTCCATGTTACTTAAAATTATTTTCATATTGAAATTTCTTGACTATCTTCCTATATATAAAGTAAAAAAGTAAGTGTAACATAATCTGTATCATGTAACATAATATAACAAGTTAAATTAAAACATATAATTAGATGATAATAAGATAAATAAAGAGATAATATATGATATGATAATTTTATTAATGTTTATCAAGTAGTTATCTAGGATTATCTGAAATCAAATATATTTTATTTTTTTCAAAATCCTTGACATCAATAATCCCTTCACAAAGCAACTGCTTTATTACCAATACATCCAAAAATAATAAACTCAGAACTTGGGTCATTTTCCAAATCAAACTGGCCTTGATTTATTCTATGGTTTATTCTTGGTAGGAATAACACAGGTTATATGACATTTTATTTAACACAATTTTTCTTACAAATATTTCAATAAGCTAGAAAAATCTATCTAAATCTCTAAAAAGAATAGTTGACAATGGAACTAAACTATTATATTATTTGGTCATGTAAGAAATTAGACTGGATTGTGATTACTTTCATCTCAAACAATCATTGTATTAATAGTATGTAGCTGTTTACAGTCAAATACAGCTCATATCATAAATAATAACTTTTAATAAAAAACATTTGGTACAATTGAAAAACTGAAAAGTAACTTAAAGTTCCAGACATTGTAATGTATAATAACAAGTTTTTATCATGTACAAAGGTAAGAAAATGATCATAATCATGATTCACTATAGCTTCAAGAACTATGATTGCGAAATTCACCCCCCACAATCTTCAGAACATCAATTTAAGCTTCCTCCACACGTTTTTCCTCGGCACCCCATGTAGAAGTGTAAATTGTCCAGTAGTAATAGTGTGTGTTGATAGATGATATAGACATATTTCTAGTATAAATAGAGAAAATCAATGTGAGAACTAGTGGTATAATTGATTAGAATGTAAAGAACATCAATCATGTCTTAACTATTACACCTTTACTAGATTCCTTTTAGACACACCACATCACAGTACACAATACACATGCTCATCCCATTAGAGTTTACTTAAAAACAAAACTCCCCAAAAACAAATGCTGATCAGAATAGGGTACTGACATTAAAGAGGGTTGTAAAGGAAGTTGTTTGTTTATGTGTATAAGGAATACTCATTTACGCTATTCCAACATTCAGTCAAACAACTGTGTTTCTTGCAATTCCACTTAAACTAGGTGTTTTATGAAGTCACTATTGCTTTAAGGTACTCATATATCTGCGATGGTGATGTAAAAAAATTGCAAATGCCACAGATGCCTGACTGAAAATTGAATGGCGCAAATTGATGATATCAGTGTCCTTGATACGCATAAACCTGGATACAACCACCAATGAAAGTCGTAGAACTTTGTTTGGTATCAATGCTCTCATCACCGGCCAACTTTGTTTCACTCTTTACAATTTCTTCAAGTCCAAGACTTTGATGCATCTGATTCAATTTCTTATACAAAATTATAAAATATATCTATTGTATCTTCTAGACTATTCATTTCCATTAATATCTGTTGTTAAAATAGTCTGCGAAATGAGCTTTATCTGGAAGCAGACATTAATATGTCATCTACCAACCAAGCTGTTGTCAAAGCAAAAATTCTCAATTCTTTTAGTCTTTCTGCTGGCTATTTCTTTGACAGATTACAAGCAGACATGAATATAGTATAAACAATGAGATCAAGGAATAGTTGAGATTCTCCTTCGATATTTCAATAAGATAGATTTATTTGAATTCCATCACACTGTATGTAAGTGATGAAGCCTTCTTAGATTTTCTTTTATTTTGACGAGTCCCTCTACATTGATTGGTATTGTGTGTGATAGAAAATAGCAGGCTTAAGCAACAAGATCATGATTTAGTTGTGGTCTGCAAGTCATATGACCATTGCCTTTCAGATTGCTATATAGCAACAATGAAAGTATTCAATACAGATTTTTCTTCAAGAAATATAAGACATATCACATTAACTGATGTCTCCAAGTGATGCTTCTCAATGATAACAAAATCAATGAAAAAACCATAAATACATCAAAATGTCGTCTGTTCATTAAAATGTGGTCTTTCTTCCTTCAATTCATCACTCTAAAAGTCACAACTTTCTTAGTATAAATTTGTTTTCTTTGCTCTATCAATTATAATCAGTCCATCTAATATCATCAAAATGCACCACAATATACCTGTTTATATCACAGTGAGTCACTTTACAACATAAAGAGAGTCAGTTTATATCACAGTGAGTCACTTTACAACATAAAGAGAGTCAGTTTATATCACAGTGAGTCACTTTACATCATAGTGAGAGTCAGTTTATATCACAATGAGTCAGTTTACAATAAAGTGAGAGTCAGTTTTTGTCATAGTGAGTAAGTTTGTATCACAGTGAGTCAGTTATATCATAGTGAGTCAGTTTTTAGTGATCGTTTAACAGTGAGTAAGTTTATATCACAGTGAGTCAGTTTATATAACAGTGAGTCAGTTTATATCATAGCGAGTCAGTTTATATCACAGCAAGAGACAGTTTACACTGAAAACCAGATTGAAGCTGACAGTTTGCATTGAGGTTAGTCTACATTGCAGTGAGAATCTTTTTGGAATATTAGAGTGAGTGAAAAAAAATACCGATTTGACAAACTTTGAAACCTCAGGTTCATTGAAGGTCAGAGTACTTATGTGCCATCTAAATCATTTACCTTTCCTTACATGAAACCTTTCATATTACCAACCTATAACAATTAGAAAGACTAAAAATAATCTTCTAGATGTTCATAAATAAACTTTACAAATGAGTTCTGTAAAACTGGGTTTTATTTTCAATACCAATTAATTTGTAATTTCTCAAGCCCATTAAAACCCAATATCTACCGTGAAACATAAAGAGACTAACGTTCCTGAAGGGTATTTTTCTCTGCTTTTAGTTTGATGGAGCATGTAAACATTATCATGTGATTAATAGAAAATGTCTCCAGGCTTGAATTGTATTTTATACTGGAATTTTCTCACTAGTAATGTACTGATAATCAGAATAAGTTGATCAGGAAGGAAAAGGGATTAGTAGACTTGTTAAGGTGATTACAGTACAACAAAACCACCTAAATAGCATCTTTATTTATTGTATTTTTATATAAGAGGACAACCTCCTATTTCAAATACCAAACAAACATTTTAATCCTTGAATCTTACAGACAAAACACTTTCAAATTCCAATTTATATGCAGATACTGATCCTGAACATTTCAAAAGCAACATGGAACTTTTTAACGTGCTTCTGAGAGTCAGACCATTGTTGGCTTATACCTAATAGATCTGTTTCAATATGGAAAACAAATATGCTAAAAGTAATTTCAATATATTTGCCGAGCAAGAGAAAGATATGCTCCATGTTCAATTTCAAATTTATCAAAGTTATGTTCAGTTTCATATTTATTGAGAACTCAGTGACTTTAAACAATGAGGATCAAGAGACAGACAAATAATAATAAAGTTGAAACAGAATATCATTATTATTATTTCTGGACTATTAAATTTTCTACTTAAAATCCCTTCAGGGAATAATAATCATATTGAGCTGAAAGCTATTTTGAGAAGTTGCGAAACTGTCTGGGCCTATCATTCTATACTGAATATCTAATAACATACTCTTTCACAATATATACAGCTAAGGCATGGCGAAAGGTGGCCAAATTAAGAAAATTCAATAGTTTTCAAGAAACTGTTTCCCCACGGGACTAGGTTTATTTTGGTCTTGGCGTAGTAAACTGCTGCTTGTTTTAATTGGGAAGTTTGATTGATTGGGGTAAACTGTCGTGATAGATGAACATAGTGGTTGGAATTGGAAAGGAGATTGAAAAATCAATGAATGGTTTGGGTGTAAAATCTATTCTATTGTCACATAACATATATTACACAATCACTAGTATTCTTATAGTATGTAAAATAAGATATGTTGATACAGATTGTGTACTACATCAAGATTTATTAATTCTTTATAATTGTATAGCATTATTATAACCACCAGTCAGTCCAATATTATTATATTCAACTAACAGTAGTTATTTAACCTTCAAATGTCCTCTCTACATGAAATTATCGTGTTTATCGAGCTAGGAGATTGTGACATGATAGGAGTGAGCCACCAATGATTTCAATTGTCATCATTTATTGGCCACAAATAGCATAGTTGTTGTATAAAAAAAGCTCTTAAGTGTTCGAACTTTTTGCTCAGTGTATATAACAGTGAACAATGGAGTGTACCTTGACTTAATCACAAAACAGTTTAGCCAATTCCTACTGAAGACATATATCAAGAAGTTGATTTTGGATGTGCTGATTTGGTGGGGGGCGAAATATCTGAGGTTGCCCGAATTTCTAACCCAGTTATGAGATTTTTGCCCTCTGCTCCCCTTTGGCTCCGCCACTGGGTAATGCAAATTTTCACTTCATATTCCGTTACAAGATAAGTAGTAAGTTTTTGCATAAGAATTAATGACCCAGACAGAGAATTTATTTCTGACAATTTTGGGGTGCCAAAAACATATCAAAATCTATATCTTTTTGATTTGGTACAATGGCACTGTAAACGAATAAATCTCTGCTGAACTGATGAAGGTTTTGCTGGGGTTTAATTCTCACTTGCTGACCCCACGGGGTCTGGGTCACTCTCTCAAAAAATCTAATATGGATGCTCAACTTTCACTCTACTTACATTCCAACATGTTGAAAAGAATAATTAGTGTTAATGCCTGGTTATTTTTATTGTGAAATCAGATGGAGTTTATTTGTTTTGATAATCTCTCAAGATTCTTGTAAAATTTGTGATGCATTCATCTCGTTAGTAGAAGAATTCAAGTGTTTCTATATGTATCTTTTCTCAAAGACATTAATTGTTTTAATAATGAACAAATAAAGGAATGTTTTTCAAGGGGAAATCTTATTTAATCATTCATCTATTCATATGTGTATAAATATCTTTAATAAAAAAGTTTCGAGAACTATAAGATGATATTCAGAATCTATTCACACCGATGGTTGAATATATATATTTTTCATGGTCACACACCTATTAAAGATTAAATTTGCAAAATGTGTGCCAGAATTGTTGATTTAGTTTTGACTAAATTTGCAAGCATATATTCCATATATAGTTCAGATATTAAAATACATTATACTGGTAAAGCATGTTTATTATATACTTTATCTTAAAAAAGAAAAAAAAAGTTTGATTTTATATCAAATGTTTACCCGTACAGAATTTCAACAAGAAATCTCAAAATAAAAAGGACTCCAATCATGTGATCCACATTTGTGCATAAATTATACTAACAGAATTGTACTCAGGAGGAAAGAAAATAACCCTAGAATATTGTAGTATGTGCATAGGGCACAGAGACATCATAGAATATTCAGTGACTTTGCAAAGGACACATTAATGTTTCCACTTTGTAAAGATACTTTTAAGTTATGACAAATTTGGTTTTTGTCATGGTGAAAATTTTCTTTAAGTAGCAATCCAAAATGGATTTGGCTCAACTGCTGTACAAAGACATTTTAGGTCTGACCAAATCACATTGCATATGAGCAGGTAGGCCCAGATTTCTAAGGCTGTAAGGTAGTTTGCTTAGAAAGAGAGCTGTAAATACAAAATCCTCATCAGGTCAGTTAGTATGTTGTTTTTGATTTTGAGACATGTGGTTTTGTACATACCTGTCATAGTAAATATCCCTATTAAAACACCTATATTTCTCCCTGCTAACATCACATCTTCACTGTCAGCTGTAACACCAGTTTGTTTGGACTTTCTTCCTGCCCATAATCCTACTGCTAGAATTAGTCCATAGAATAAAACTATAGCTATAATCCCTGGTATATGTACCGACATCTTCTCTTTCTGTCTCTTATACCTACAAATACAAATTATATTATGTTCAGGTCAAAAAAGGATGTTTCAAGGCTCCAAAGAGGCTTTTGGATCTATGTGGACTGAAGTTGTGACTAAAATATTGTGGATGAAAACTGAAAAATGACCACAAAGATAGGTTTAAGCAAAAATAAATGATCATTAAAGGTAATGGTATTATAACAGTATCTTTGTAGATGCTCTGAAGGTATACTGAGTTGACCAAAAATCAAAGTCTGCCTTTGATAACTATACAAATCATTAATCATGAAGCACAATTTTGTTTTATTTTCATCATTATTTTCCTCAAGCATTTCAAGACTAATTCTTAGCTTAAAGAAATGTTTCAGATCAATTTTCTTAAACTTGTTCCTACTAATAGGAAGAAGAATATGCAGATTTCTGATAGATAAATTATAGATATAAGAAAGATAGAGACAATGGTACATTATAATCAATAGAAGTTATGAATAATAAAATTCACAAAGATAAGAAATCAATCTTTATCTATTTATTGATGAAGAATTTCAATGTAAGAATTGATTTAATCTATTTTTACTAATTTTCTTTACAATTTAAAACATTCTTCAGGACCTAAATACATGTTATACAGTAGGCTTATCCAGTTTGATTATATTCAGGATCAAGATACATGTTTTTTGTAGGTTATTACTCTGTACCAGTCATGGTTTGACAAAATTCTTCTTTGACTTTGACTAAATTTATGATGTATCAAAAGATTTCTTAATTTAAATGAACCAATCAAATACACTGTTTTAAATAGGATTAAATACAAAATGTAACATTTAGATTTGCATTTTAATCATTTTGAATTTCATCTAATTGCATCTACACATTGTGAACGTCAATATTGCTATACCAAAATAGTATTTATACACTCTCTATCTTAAATAACACAAAAGTGTAACAAAACAAATGAAATGAACGGAGTTTTACGCCCAGAACAATATAACATGTAGGCAACAACAACAGAATTTTCATTTAAAAATAATATATAAAATATATAATGTGATGTAACAGCTTTACAAAAGAATGACACCTACGACCCCTCACCCAAACTGTGCTTTCGTAACATTGCTTAACCGCAATGTTACAACCTAAAATTCCAAACAGGATGTTTGCTTCACGGAAAAAAATCTTTTCGACATCGATTTCTGACGGCCTCAGTTTATTTGCCACAAGAAAAGACACAAGGATTGATGAACTATGTTATATCTATATTTAGAGGCAGCCATACAATCTGAGAATAAATCTTTTCCTCAATGGGAATTTTCCATCTTAATGAGTAATTTGATTACTGAGTGATAATTCCGAGTTGGTCAATGATTTCGATTGTATTTCATAGTAAATATTATGTCTAGGTACAGTCTTCAACTTTCCTTAGACTAGAATCAATATAGCTTCTAGCTACCAGACTACATTTTAACATTGGTATTACTAAATTATCATATATCTTAGTGTGAAACATTTTCTAAATGGAACCAGAGCCAATGAATCACAAAAATCAGTATGAATACATTTATTTCAAATGACACCAAAGCTATAAAATCAATATATTATGCTCAAACATGATAGAGATGAATTGCAAGAAGTCTGTCCGACAGCAGAATAAAAAGCAGAAAGTATCAGAAAAATTCACATATAAACTTGTACTGCATGACTGTTCAAGGAAAGAAAACAGACACATATACCAGTCAGCCAAAAACTTTCCTTCCGTATTAGGGGATGGCTCTTCCAAGTGAGGATTGGTTTGCAATGGGCATCAGATCATGGTGCAATGACCACAGGACTTGAGTCAGCTATATCAGTTCAGGTTTAGTATAATTAAGACTGTATGACTCTGGTCTGACATCACTTAGTTCAAAGAATGCAACTAGTCTGTAATCATCTTATCAAGAAATTGGCCTGTTAATTCGGGTGTATATTTATCTTTTAGCATGTATATCTTAAAACTATTTAAAAAAACATCTTGTTTATTTGATTCACTATGTGGCAGTAAGATAAAATTTGTAATGCCTCTGTTTGTAACTGATAAATCATTTCAGATAGTTACCGCATTTAAATTGTATAATTTATATATTGTATCTATAATTCTGGTAAATACACTAGACAACTAAAAAATTCATATGCCACAACTTTTACAGTTTTATCTCCTGCTTGGGTATTTACAACAGAAAAAAAAATATGTGATAAAAATCTATACAGGCCGGACAATTCTGTTAATCAAAATCTCATCCAAAGTATGGTGAAATCATAGTAAAAGTTGGATATTAGTGGACTCCTTCAGAGTAAGCACTGAAATGTAGCAAATCACACACTTAAATTTCAGTTATGACGAAGTGAAAACTTTAAAAACTATATTTTAAATATTATAAACATTGGGAGGTTATATTGACTTTAACAATCTCCACAAAATCTTGAAACTCTTAGATACACCCTAGTGGAAATTTAAACAAGATAAGATTTGTCTTGAAGACAAATTAATTTTTGAAGTATGTAGAATAAAAATTCAATACAAATTCCTGCTTCAAAGAGACTTACAATATCAAACAACTGTTTTAGATTACAGACCAGTTCTTCATTTAAAAGACATACTTTCCTTATTTTTACTTTACAGACTGAAAGAGCTCAATTCAAGAATTCTATTCACCTGGATTCAACTAAAAGCAATGTAAAAGTTTAGATAGTTCTCACTGCCATAATGGTTTAATTATTTCAGATCATCTCCATCGGTCAAACGTGCAAACTTACCGGACTGCTAAAACCCCTAACTTCCATGATACATTTCTAAAATTGAACATTACACGGACAATATTTAGTAAGATGTATTTTACAAAGTTTTTACTACCATAAGATTGGTCATTGTCATGTTATGTATGTGTCATGATTATATGTTATAAAACTAGTTAAATAAAGAAAAGACTAAGTATTAACAATCGAAAACCTTAAATCCAAAATAACAGTTTGGCAGCTAATGCACTTTTCATATGAGGAAGTATATCAATCATAAGGAAATACTTTATAATGAAAAGTGGTATCAGGTGTCTGGAACAGTAAGGGTACCCTACCTCAACTGCCCTTGCTCAAACTTCAACTTACATGATAGGAGAACAGTTTAATTTTGAATCAATTAAAATGGACACAGAGTAAGTAGTTGTCTTATAATAACATTCCTAATGTCTTACAAATATTCAATGACAAAAAAGACAAAATGGTTAAATCATTACAAACAAACTAATAACTACAAAGTTCAGATAATCATCAGGTGAAACCTACCTTGTTGAATGAAAGAGAGGAAAGGAAAGAAGAAATTAAATCAATGGAATTTTTAACACAAGTTTTTGTTGTATTGATAATAAAACTGGGGGTGGTAGGAGGACCAATATGTCAGTTCAGAACTTGTCAGGAGTTCAATTATTGGAATAGAAATAAAAGGAGTGTTTTCCAACATGTTATCCACTAACTTGCAGACCTATTGATTTATCGTCTCTAGAATAGTAGAAATTATACCTTATCTGTAATAATGTGTAGGTTAGGCCTTTATACCATCCCTTCACTATTCTCTTATATTCTCATATCAGATTGAAAATTAGAATGAACTAGAGTGGGAGATTTCCTCTTCTTAATAAAACCTATGTCTGTCTCAACTACTGCTCTTGAAACAAGCATGACTAGAATAATATCAATACATTCTTTTCCCATTCTAACATTACACCATGTCCAACTTTAAATGAATCTGAACTAAAAGACATTAAATCTGAAAGACATGTAAATCTTCTATTTTTAAGGAATAATATCCAATAATCAAAGGAAAGAGAACGTGAAGACTATTGCAACTTCTTACTCAATCAAGAATCAGACATCTCTAATTTACTCCCAACATCAATTGCTCTGTTAGCTGCCATGGCAACGAATAATCAAAAAGGAAAATATAGAAATTTATAGGAAAGTTCCACCAATAAATTCATTGATTTCTTCTAATTTAAACAAGTTCAATACTTTAGCCTTATCTTTATCAACTAGCAACTAAAATAGTATCAATAACATATTTTATTCTCTTCTAATCTTTATTATATGTCCTACATATAAAATTAATATTAATTAATGAGTTTAAGTTTTTTACAGTAACATTATACAGAATAGAATCCAAAAATCTGGAACTCAAGTATAGTCTTTCTGTTTCTGATTTTTTCTAATCCAGGCATAATCCTGTCATTCTGTTTCTTAACAAAATACTTGCTACCATGATGCAGTTCATGTATAGTTCTTTCATTCTGTTTCTGATTAAAGAGATCATCCCTGATTCCAGTTCATGTATAGTCATTCTATATCTGATTAAAGAATATTATCATGATTCCAGTTGAAGTATTGTCTGTCATTCTGTTTCTGATTACAGAACATTAGGTAACATCATTCTAGTTTGAGTATAATACTATCAATCTGAAAACAGAACACTACCATGGGTTAAGTATAGATATGTTGAACAATACCAAGTTTAGAACAGTTTTGCTATTCTGCATCATGGTTTTAGGTTATATACACTCTGCTTCTAATTACAGAACAATGGTTTCAGGTGAATGTTTACTTTTTGTTCATTTGCAGAATTATATTAGTTACTGGTACATCAATAAAAGCATAAGAAAAATAAATTATTTGGATTAAAAATATAACTAACAGTATTATTAAAACATAAGTTAAGACTTGAACTATCTCTTATAAAAGGTATATATTGATTAGGTACATAGAACTAGAAGAAATATAAATAAGATAAGGGAAATAAGTTTGTTATAGAGAGGAAATAATGTATGATTCTTATCTTCACTTTAACACTAGCTACTCAATTTACATTGTTTATTAAGTACAATACTTACAGAGTTCTCGCTAATTAATTATGTTGGCTCTCTTCTTCACAATATATTATTTATTTTTTATATAAACTAAAAACACCTACATACTTATTC